CATATTACCGGACCTTAATCCCAATAGTCAAAGGTTAATTTACCAAAACTTGTTAATCAAGTGACAAGAGTAATTAACCACATACGTTTCAAGAAGAAAATAAAAATAACCTAAACAACGAAGGACAACAAAAGACATATAAATTAACAAAAGCAAGAGACACTGAAGACAACATAACCCAACAAGTGGGATCAGTGCGTACAGTAGAACATATATCCTTTGTTTTTTCCACCCAATAATTGATATTAGAAGAAGATAAAAATGTCGAACGGGCTGTAGCACAGCCAGTCCTGTGGCTCTCTATGTCCCTGGGTTTTGGTTCATCCGTTGGCCGGTGAATACGCAAACGGTCACCGCCCGTCGTCTATTCCGTTGCTCTATAAAGTCGAACGGTGATACAAAATAGTGACTACTTAGAGTGGATGCATTATTTTTTTCCAAACCTCTTGAAGGTTTAGGTTTTTTTTGTCATGACTAATGAATGGTGGAAAAAAATAAGGGGCATTGGTTCATTCCTTTGGCTGGTGAATAAGTACTTAGAGCAGATGTGTGTTTTTTAATCCCGAGTTTGAATCTCCTTTTCTCTAATTTTAAAGACTAGTTTTAAGAAATTTCAGATGGGTGCTGCTCTTCTACTGCTGATTCCGTTTGACAAGGTTGCATTTTGACAGGTTGGTCCAAAGTGCACAGAAAGAAAGAAATTTCAGATGGGAGCTGCTCTTCTACTGTTGACTCTGTTTGACAGGTTGGTCCAAGGTGCACAGAAAACAAAAAATTAGTTAAGTGACTAATAAGAGAGCAAGTCACTCCATACTTTTCATTCTTTCACCTTCACAAGGGGATGAAGAATGTCAAGCTCTTGACATCCGAGCCTCCAATTAATTTGGCCGAACCATGCAAATACGCGTGTTCTTTGAATAATTGTCGGATTTTGTTGTCTTAATCATAGCGATTCGTTTACTCTAATTGATAAAGCTTCATCAATTGAGAATGTACATGATAAGTACAGCCTTAAAACTTCTAAGAAACTTTAATAAATAGTAATGAAATTAATGGAAGACATAAAAAAAAAACTTCAAATTACTAATCTTTTCGTTTAGATTAGATTATTAATGGGGTGACACCATTTTCCTTAACTTTTTCAGCTAATGTTCCATTACATTTCACTTCCTCTTTGGTAGATTCATCTTTCTTCTCCTTTTCTTCTTTCTCCGCCTTCAATTTCCCTTCTTCCTCCGCCTTCAGTTTCGCTTCTTCCTCCGCCTTCTGTTTTGCTTCCTCCTCCGCCTTCACTCTCGCCGCCTCCTTGGCAGCCTCGAGCGCTTCAATCAAGTTCTTCAAACACGACTCAGCATCCTCGACATCAGATTTTGGCATCAGATTCTCCGCAACATCGGCAGGTGTCATGTCGGTCTCTCCCAACAAGCGCTCAATGGTTCCAAACAACTCGTGCGTTTCCAAATCCAAATAATTCCTAGCAAGAACTTTGAACGCCTCGTAGCAGCAGTAGGACAGTTTTATGTGCTTGTCCATCCTTCCTCTTCTAATCAGAGCAGGATCAAGTTTATCCACATAATTAGTCGTGAACACGATCAGTCTCTCCCCTCCACACGCAGACCAAATGCCATCGATAAAATTCAGCAGCCCCGAAAGAGTCACCTTGCTAGTTGTGTTCTCTTCTTCTTCCTTCTTTTTCAGAATTTGATCCTTTTCATCACCATCTTTGGCCTCCTCTACTTTCTTATTCTTTCGCTGCCCGGTAAGATCAAGGGAGCAATCAATGTCCTCGATCACAATAATCGCCTTACCGGATATGTCAATCAGCAGCTTTCTCAGCTCGGTGTTGTCCTTAACCGCGGTCAGCTCTAGATCATAGACATCATAATTCATTAAGTTCGATATGGCGGAGATCATGGTGGACTTCCCTGTCCCCGGTGGCCCGTAAAGGAGGTAACCCCTCTTCCAAGCCTTCCCGATTTTCTTATAGTAGTCCTTCCCTTTTCCGAACTTCAAAAGATCGTTAATTATCGACTGTTTCTCCTTCGGATCCATCGCCAATGTCTCAAACGTCGCCGGATGCTCAAACACCACATGGCTCCACTTCGTACCCTTTCCGGTGTTGTTAATGTAGAGCTTCCGCTGCCTGTTCTTAACCGCAATCGCCTTCCCCTCCTGCCTCACATGGTCAAGATACGACCCCATGACAACGTCCCTATGCCGGCGGTGGAACGTCAGCTTGTACATCTTCCTGTCATCGTACTCGGGAAAGAACGAAAAGGATGTCTTTTTCGACGCGCTCTTTTTGGACGCCCACCAGAGCTTGATGCCCTCGAACTCGTCGGTGACCTCCTCGTTGTCGTCCATGCCTAGAACCAAAGCCTTGCTTCCTTTAACCTCATGAGCCTTGAGGCGCTTCGCTCTCGTCGAGGATTTCGCGCTGAGGTAGCTCTGGATGGCGGAGTAGACCTCGCTCCGCCGGTGAAAGTCGCTGTCGTATTCGTCGAAGGTGATTTGGATGTAGGGGTAGACATAGGCTACTAATTTCTGACCGTATTTTTCAAGGATATCACCGAGATTGTCTGGGAAGAATTGCTTGAACATGGCATAAGCAAACATCATGCTCGCCATCACCGAGCCGAGCTGCCCCCACATTTCCCCCATCTTTGCCATCGGGGAACGGAGAAATCACGTGACAGTCCGACAGTAACAGTATTCTCAAGAAGAAATTCAACAATTACGCTGTAATTCTCTCTGATAGAGGTTTGAAAATGGAGGCGAAGTTATATAGACACAGGACTGCCTCCAGAGTAGTGTGACCAACTAACTAGATGCTCTGATCAACTCAACTTCCTGGCAGCTTCCATTTGGCCACCTTTGATTTCTATGAATTTCGCTTTGTCCATCTACCAAGTTTGACCGAATATTGTGCATGTTCGCATACATGGAATTGAAATGACCAAGATTATAAGATATTTTTTTTAAATATTAGTATTTAAACGAATACTTCACGTATTATATAAAATATATAGTAAAACATTAAAAAATATATTATTTTTAACACGGGGGATCGATTTAACTTAGGTCACGAGGTAATCGATATGAATATGAAACAGAAAGCGGTTTTCTCGTTAAATTATTTACTTACGGTCATGAATTGAAGTAAAATTAGTTTGGCTACTGGAATACTTTTGTATACGATAACATTTACTACTCAATTTTCAAGGAATTGTTTTTGGTCTTTGAGCATGGAGCATTTGATCATGACTTGTTTAGAGGTACTTTTAAAATTATTGAAAAAACGTTGTTAGATGATGTTTGTACCATACTTGACCAATCCCGAAACTACCGAGCACCGGCCAACGCTATACTGTCAAGGACCCAGAAGAGTTCCCCTCCGACCAGGAGGCCAATCACTACTCGACACGTGTCAAGATTAGAAGCCAATCAGAGCGCAGCACGTGTCGACATCAAGAACCAATCATAACATGACACATGTCAATGTGACAAAGCTACAAGTTTTTCTATAAATAGGGGTCATTCCCCCACAATATTGCCTAATGACATTTGTGTTAAATCATTCACAAGAACTCACTAAATTGAGAGCTTGATCCTTTGTACTTGTGTAAGCCCTTCACTACTAATAAGAACTCCTCTACTCCGTGGACGTAGCCAATCTGGGTGAACCACGTACATCCTGTGTTTGCTTCTCTGTCTCTATTCATTTACGTACTTATCCTCACTAGTGACCGAAGCAACCAAGCGAATGTCACAAAACCTGACACTTTCTGTTGTACCAAAGTCTTCGCTGATTTTGTGCATCAACAGATGAAATGTTTTTGGATTCTCAAAGCACTTGAAGTGCTTTCTGAGATAATGATTTACTTGCGTTTTTACCAAGAATTAATTTCAAAAATAATTTTAAAACAAATTATTTTCAGTCATTTTAAAAATATTTCAAACAAGCACTTGTTTGGAAATGCTTTTAAAATGATTAAAAATGTTGTTAGACAAAATGTTCTTTTGATTCCTAAAGTACTTGAAGTGCATTCTGAGAAAAGAATTTACTTACGTTTTTATCAAAAATTAATTCCAAAAATATTTTTACAAAAAATTATTTTCAATCATTTTAAAAATATTCCAAACAAACACTTCCACAGAGAACAATTTCATTCATTGTTCCTTTTAATTCCCACCTAACATGAGGAATCTCACTCGCCCTACAAATTAGTAATGGCATTCCTAACTTACTTACAAAGCTATTTGATGGAAAGGGATCCTCTCCGGATTCCTTCATCCTAATCCACAAAATCAGTGGATCCGTGCCATGAAAATTTAATTCAAAAGCTGAAATTATTATAACTTTTAAAGTGGGTCCCTGTTTGTAACCGTTAGATCAAATTTCAATGTCACAGATCTACTGATTTGGTGGATTAGGAGTAAATGATCCGGAAATGATCCATTTCCCTATTCCATGACCTTTTAGAACAAGGTGTCAAAAATTAAATTGGTTAACCATCTTTTCCATCTTACCTTAAAATTCATAAATTTTAATTCATCCCTTAAAATCTTAATTAAACACGCCTTTTTAAAAATAATATAATTTTATATAAACGGTTTATTAATTTACATCAATCAAAATGGATCAATATAATTATTAAAATTTTACATGCTAATTAATAGTAAACATAGAATATCAAAAAATTTGTGAGTGTAATAATTAAAAAATTTGCACACCTAATACAAATTCTACCTTCTTTACACATAAAAATTGCATTGTCACATCAATCACCTTCACTACTTTCTTTTCTTTGCCGATTCACCTTCACTTGTTCACACAAATCAAATAGGATGAGTACACCGGCTTCTGACGTTTTCTATTAGAATCGGTCACCAATTAGTATACGTTGGCGTGACCAACACGATATAAATTATTCTCCGTTCTCCACATCACACTTCAACACTCAATTTAAAATATATATATATATTTCATATCATTTTCTGCTTCTTCTGCCTTTAATTTCGCTTCTTCCTCGGCCTTCACTCTTGCCTCCTCAAGAGCTTCGATCAAGTTCTTCAAACAAGACTCAGCATCCTGTATAACAGACTTAGGCATCTAGTTCTCAGCAACATCAGCAGGAGTCATATTGGTTTTGCCCAACAAACGCGCAATCGTTTCAAACAACTCATGTGAATCCAAATCCAAATAATTCCTAGCAAGCACTTTGAATGCTTTGAAGCAGCAGTAGGACAACTCTATGTGCTTGTCCATCCTTCCTCTTCTAATGACCGCAGGATCAAGTTTGTCCACATAATTAGTCGTAAACACGACCAGTCTCTCCCCTCCACAAGCTGACCAAATCCTATCGATAAAGTTTAGCAGCCCTGAAAGAGTCACCTTGCTCTGTGTGTTTTCTTCATCTTCCATCTTATTTCGAACTGGATCCTTTTCTTCCATGCCCCCTTCATCCTTGTCCTTCTTCTTCTTTCGCTGTCCGGTAAGATCAAGCGAGCAATCAATGTCCTCAATCACAATTATAGACTTACTCGACGTGTCAATCAGTAGCTTCCTCAGCTCAGTGTTGTCCTTCACCATGAGTCGATTTTATAGTATATATTATTTCCTATTCTTGGTATATTTTAGTTATTATTTTGGTGAGATTTTGATGTTTTGCTATGTGTTTTTAATGTAGGACATGCGAATAGGGGTGGGTTCAAAAAACCAAAAACCGAAAACCAAACCGAACCGAAACCGAAAAAACCAAACCGAACGAAAAAACCAAACCGAATTGAAAAAACCGAACCGAACCGAATTAATTAAATTAATTTTTTTATTTAATTATTTGTTTTGGGTATTATTTTCTAAACCCAATTTGTTAGTTAAAATGTGCTAAACCCAATGTGTTGCCAAACTTTAAGCTCAAAATATTTTAAAAAGGCCTATAAAAACTCTAAACCCTAACCTATTATTTATCTCCCATATAAGGTTACGGAACCAAACCTCCTTCAGAAGTACCTACATCCATCTCCATAGCACTGCCTACTTCTGCCCTAGCTTTCTTTTCCAAATCTACTCTCATATAACATGTAACAGAATCCATAAACATTTATTTCGGGTACATTACTTGGGTAATTTGTGATGGAAAAGAATCTCTAACACACACTAAATAAAATCCACCCACGCATTATTTTTTACTAATCAAGTTGTCAACATGCAATTACAAGCAAACAACCTTGATCTTTGAACAACATCATACAATTTAACTTTTCTAAGTCATTTGTACGATTTTTGTGTTGTGAGGTTGTTAGTTTGGACTTTGGAAGACTTGATTGATGATTTTAGTTCAATTTTAAATGTTTATTTTCATTGTCTTTGATTCTAGTTAGAATGCTTATGTTATGATTGTGTTGGATATGTTAAAATTTAAAATTTCAATGTTTTTCATTTTTGAAAAAAAAAAACAAAAAACCGAACCGGAAAAAACCGAACCGAAAAAAAACCGAACAGAAAAAAACAGAAAAAAAAATGAACCGAACCGAAATTTCGGTTTGGTTTCGGTTTTAGCAAAAAACCGAACCGATTTAAACCGAACCCACCCCTACATGCGAACTTGTTTTGAGCATAAAATAATCAAACGGTGGAATTTTTGAGTGATTTCAATTGGAGCCAGTTCATGAATCTGCCAAGAAGGTTGTGTCAAAATTTCATAATTTTATCCCTAAGCATCTAATCGTGAAGAATTAATTTATGCTCAGTGCTGGTAGATGGGGTTGTAGAGCTTATTTGTGACTTTTGGGCTGAAAGATGATGGATTTTGGACTTGGACTCTTCTTGGAACTTGAAGAGGAGGTCATAATCTTTCATTCAACACGCTAGTGTTGTAAGCAGGATTATAGTAGTCAAAATTTTCCGTAAAGTACTGCAACAATAATGTAGATTAAAAGTTCGATCAACCAACATATATTGTAGCAGCTCAAGCAAAGTCGTTTTCCACAGGGATTGAATGAATAATTTATGTTTAAAACAAACTCTTAATTAATTATTTAAAACAAAGTTTTGAAAATATTGATTTTGGAATTTAATATAATAAAAACGAATTTAAATTAAAAATAAATAAATAAGTCAACTAGAAACCACTTTAAAGCCCTAGGGTTCATCCGTCACATTAGCAATCCTACGTAGTTCTTCCAATTACTTATGAATTATCCATGCATATTTATAATGTTAAGTTTTCCTAAGATATATTCTATTTGGAACCTCCAACATAGAACGTATATCTAACATGAAATCCGTTTGGATGTTCAAATCAAATATGAACTTGAAAGACTCATTAAGTTTTATAAAAACCCTTTGAAAAACCATGCAACCCTTAAGACGTGGTGTTAATCCTAAATGAAATTACAATTATTAACCACAAGAAGCCAGCGCCAATTTCAGGGAACCTTCCGACTAAAATTGCATCAAATTACTTTTCTAAATATCCTAATGGTAGCGAATCACTAAAACACTTAGATAGTTCACTACTACAAAAGAGGTTATCACTGGCGGTGCAAAAAACCAACACTAAATCCTAATTGATAAAGCTTCATCAATTGAGAATGCAAACGATAACTACAGCCTTAAAACTTCTAAGAAACTTTAATAAATAGTAATGAAATTAATGAAAGACATAAAAAAAAAAACTTCAAATTACTAATCTTTTCGTTTAGATTAGATTATTAATGGGGTGGCACCATTTTCCTGAACTTTTTCAGCTAATGTTCCATTACATTTCACTTCCTCTCTGGTAGATTCATCTTTCTTCTCCTTTTCGTCTTCCTCCGCCTTCTGTTTCGCTTCTTCCTCCGCCTTCAGTTTCGCTTCTTCCTCCGCCTTCTGTTTTGCTTCCTCCTCCGCCTTCACTCTCGCCGCCTCCTTGGCAGCCTCGAGCGCTTCAATCAAGTTCTTCAAACACGACTCAGCATCCTCGACATCAGATTTTGGCATCAGATTCTCCGCAACATCGGCAGGTGTCATGTCGGTCTCTCCCAACAAGCGCTCAATGGTTCCAAACAACTCGTGCGTTTCCAAATCCAAATAATTCCTAGCAAGAACTTTGAACGCCTCGTAGCAGCAGTAGGACAGTTTTATGTGCTTGTCCATCCTTCCTCTTCTAATCAGAGCAGGATCAAGTTTATCCACATAATTAGTCGTAAACACGATCAGTCTCTCCCCTCCACACGCAGACCAAATGCCATCGATAAAATTCAGCAGCCCCGAAAGAGTCACCTTGCTAGTTGTGTTCTCTTCTTCTTCCGGCTTTTTCAGAATTTGATCCTTTTCATCACCATCTTTGGCCTCCTCTACTTTCTTCTTCTTTCGCTGCCCGGTAAGATCAAGCGAGCAATCAATGTCCTCGATCACAATAATCGCCTTACCGGATATGTCAATCAGCAGCTTTCTCAGCTCGGTGTTGTCCTTAACCGCGGTCAGCTCTAGATCATAGACATCATAATTCATTAAGTTCGATATGGCGGAGATCATGGTGGACTTCCCTGTCCCCGGTGGCCCGTAAAGGAGGTAACCCCTCTTCCAAGCCTTCCCGATTTTCTTATAGTAGTCCTTCCCCTTTCCGAACTTCAAAAGATCGTTAATTATCGCCTGTTTCTCCTTCGGATCCATCGCCAATGTCTCAAATGTCGCCGGATGCTCAAACACCACATGGCTCCACTTCGTGCCCTTTCCGGTGTTGTTGATGTAGAGCTTCCGCTGCCTGTTCTTAACCGCGATCGCCTTCCCCTCCTGCCTCACATGGTCAAGATACGACCCCATGACAACGTCCCTATGCCGGCGGTGGAACGTCAGCTTGTACATCTTCCTCTCATCGTAATCGGGAAAGAACGAAAAGGATGCCTTTTTCGTCGCGCTCTTCTTGGACGCCCACCAGAGCTTGATGCCCTCGAACTCGTCGGTGACCTCCTCGTTGTCGTCCATGCCTAGAACCAAAGCCTTGCTTCCTTTAACCTCATGAGCCTTGAGGCGCTTCGCCCGCGTCGAGGATTTCGTGCTGAGGTAGTTCTGGATGGCCGAGTAGACCTCGCTCCGCCGGTAAAAGTCGCTGTTGTATTCGTCGAAGGTGATTTGGATGTAGGGGTAGACATAGGCTACTAATTTGTGACAGTATTTTTCAAGGATGTCGCCGAGATTGTCTGGGAAGAATTGCTTGAACATGGCATAAGCAAACACCATGCTCGCCATCACCGAGCCGAGCTGCCCCCACATATCCCCCATCTTCGCCATCGGTGAAGGAGAAATCAAGTGACAGTCCGACAGTAACAGTATTCTCAAGAAGAAATTACGTAGCGGTGCGACTGTCACATCCTAAATCTCTCTGATGGAGATTTGATAAGAAGGCGAAGTTATATAGAGAAGATGATGAGGAAGTTTGGCTTGGTGATCAAGACAGAGGACTGCCTAGAGAGAAGTGTGACCAGCTAAGTAAAAGCTCTGATCAACTCAATTTCCTGGCAGCTTCCATTTGGCCACCATTGATTTATCTGAATTTAGCTTTTTCCACACCTACCAAGTTTGACCAATGCAAAATATTGTGTACGTTCACAGACATGGATCAAATTTCAATAGCACGAATTCATTGATTCCGGGAAATATCAATTTCCCTATTTCATTACCTTTTAGAACAAGGTGTCAAAAATTAAATTGGTTAACTATCTTTTCCATCTTACCTTAAAATTCATAAATTTTAATTCATCAAAATCCATTATAATCTTAATTAAACACGCCTCTTTAAAAATAATATAATTTTATATAAACAGTTTATTAATTTACCTCAATCAAAATGGACCAATATAATTATTAAAATTTTACATGCTATTTAATAGTAAACATAGAATATCAAAAAATTTGTGAGTGTGTAATAATTAAAAATTTTGCACACCTAATCTAAATGGACCCGGCTTCTTTGCCCTCTCATTTTCCATACACTCTCATTCCTCCTATTTTGTGTTGTCATGGTTAAGCTACGTCAACATTTTATATTGATTTTTTTATAGATATAAAGACAAAAACAATAATAATATAAAATGTTGACGTGGCTTAATCGTGACCGCACAAATAGAAGATGATGAGAGTGTATGAGAAGTGGGAGGGCAGAGAAGTCAGGTCCACTGACAAGGATTGTGTGCCCTCCCACTTCCGATGCCCTCCCGTGCCCTCCTGTTTTATATGGTTACGGTTAAGCCATGTCAACATTTTATATTATTTTTTTATAGAGATAATAAAACAAAAATGAATAGTAATATAAAATATTGACATAGTTTAACTGTGACCACATAAACAAGAAGGCATTCGAGGGCAGACAATCATTGTCCCAATCTAAATTCTACCTTCTTTACACATAAAAATGGACTTGGATTGTCTGCCCTCCCATTTAGGTGCCCTCCCCGTGCCCTTCTGTTTTGTGTAATCACGGTTAAGTCACGTCAATATTTTATATTATTTTTTTATAAAAATAATAAAATAAAACGAAATAGTAATATAAAATGTTGACGTGGCTTAACCGTGACCACAAAAACAGGAGGGCACAGAAATTGGAGAGCAGACAATCCAAGTCTCATAAAAATTGCATTGTCACATCAATCACCTTGACTACTTTTTTTCTTTGCTGATTCACCTTCACTACAAATCAAATAGGATGAGTACACCGGCTTCTGACCTTTTCTATTAGTATCTGTCACCAATTAGTATACGTTGGCATGACCAACACAATATAAATTATTCTCCGTTCTCCACACCACAATTCAACAGACAAGGACTGTCTGCCCTCCCTTTTTTCATGTCTTTTCATACTTTTTTTTGTTTGTATGGTCATGATTAAACCACGTTAATATTTGATATTATTATTCATTTTTATTTTGTTATCTTCATAAAAAAATAATATAAAATATTAACGTGGCTTAACCGTGATCACACAAAACAAAAAGGTATGGAAGGGCATGAAAAAAAGGAAGGCAAGTAATCCTTGTCCCACTTCAACACTCAACTTTTTTTAAAATATATTTCATATCATTTTTATTTTTAAACTAAGATATTAAATTGTTAAAGCAACGTAGCATTTTTGTTTTTATATTAGTATATTTTATATATTTTGTTTTAAAAAATTTTGATACAAATTTAATCTTCTTAATTTTGTCAAATATATTTATGAGAGAAATTTGTGCATTACCCAAATGTATTTATAAGGCCATCTCCAATCAACCCGACCAAATGATCATTGAGCTAAAAATAGTTCGGAATGACACGAAAATCTTCTCCAACAGAGGGTTATCCCAAATGGCTTATGGGTTCCATTAGGCCAAAACTCCCAAATCAGGCCAGTGGGCTGGTCATTTCCAGCTAGCCAACCATCCCTCTAGTGCCAGAATGACAAGCTTGATATTTTGCCAACCCTCCAGCTCTAGAATGTCAAGCTTGATATTTTGTCAACCCTCCAGCTCAGTCCATTTGAATGCAAACAGCTAGTTGTTAGAATTTGAATTGTTTTTTTTGGACGAATTTAAAAAGAAAAATTCTAATTTTTTTTCCTTATAAATACCTACACCATTCATACAACATTGAAAACTGAAGATAAGAAATGTCACGTAGATACAAATCTTATCTAAAATTTGCACAACAAATTACATCTTGACAAATGACACTCGAAATCCTATCCAAAAAATTATTAAGATTAATAAAGATAAGAAATCTGGAGAATTATGCACTTTAGGAACACGTATCACTCAAAATCTTATTCAAAAAATTATTAAGATTACATAAAGATAAGAAATCTGGAGAGTTATTTATGTTAACGACACATGTCACTTAAAATCCTATCCAAAAAATTATTGAGATTATATAAAAAGAAATTTGAAAGCTTATTCATTTGGCGACAAGTGACACTCAAAATATGACACTTAAAAAAATAAATTATGTTTACCCTATGACCCTTTGGCCCCATCGGTTTGAGGTAGTTTTTTGTCAAATGATTATGTTTCGCCTATGATCCTTTGATCCCCTCGATTGAAAATGGTATAAAATATAACTTAACACTTTTGATTAAAATATAATTTTTTGTAAGACTATAGAGTTAAAAAGCATGACCTAAGGGAAATTGGTTGGTCTAAAGGGGTAATATAATAATATTTTAATAAAATTAACTAGGTTATTTTTTGTTAGGGATGAAGATGCTTTGATCTATTAATGTTCACTTGGGTTTATTTCTGTTCACTTAAAGTGAATAAATATTAAGGTTTATTACTGTTCCCTTGAGTGGATAAATGCGCTGGATGGCTCAAGCTTAAAGTCTTTTGGGGGGGGGGGTGGAAAATGCTCTTAGAGAAATTGGTTGGCCTAAGTCTGACAGCAAACGCCGCACAACGTCGGAGGAGCTCCCGCGAACGGAAATATGGGAGGAACGCCGCCGAGGAAGGCTTTCTTTGTGACGTCAAAATTCACGAATGTTGCACGATCAAAAACTGAAACGAAATCGTTATCAAACATAATAAAAACAAATTGCAAGGAAGTCAATCTCAGACATCCAAGGAAGGATAAAAGCAGCATAAGCTCTCAAGCCCGGCGAAAGGAGAAAGCTCTTAGGCGGCCACTGCGAATGTTCTTGAGAAACAAGCCTTCGATTTTGTCATCATCGATAATTTTATACTTATACATACAAATTATGATTTAAAAATTCACAAATGCAAAAATCATAAATTAACAATTTTTTTTGTGAATGCGATCTGCTCAGATAATTTGAATTTTCATTCTCATTGATTTAAAATAAATAAATCTCTGAAGTCTGACATGTGAATTAATTCAGAAATCATCACAGCAGAGAAAAAAATGAAGAACAATTAGAAAACTTTCGGATATTTTTAACGAAAATTTGAAATTGGTAAAATTGGAAGAGCGATCAGAGATGGTTAAGGGTTGTCGGTCACGGTTAAATCAGAAAAACGGACCAATAAGTTCCTCATCATATCACAATTGAAAAATAAATAGGCTTAAATTTGTGAAATTCATGAAATAAAATAAATAAATGGAAGAGTGGAAAGAAATCATCAGAGACTTAAATACTAGGAATCATGGAAAATGGAGCGTATCCATCATATTGTTGCAGTATTTTCTTCATCACCTGATTCGCCTTCCACATCACAGAACTAAAATCGGGGCGGTAAAACACGCTAACTAAATCACACGTAAAGAGATAGAGAGGCCGAGGGGCGGCGGAGGGAGTGTGTGCGTGTGCAGAGGTTGAAGAGAAACCCTAGAGTGATAAGAAGAGGAAGAAGACGATGGTTTGGAACTGCAGGAGAGAATATTTATAAGGTAACGGCTGAGATGTAAAAACCCTAATGCCAATCTTCTGGGTTTTGATATGGGCCGTGAGACATAAATGGGCCTTGTATTCACTTAATACGTATTCATAATGTAATGGCCTCTCTATACCACATGGTATAAGGTCCACAAATGAAACCCAAAAACTTATCTTTTGGGCTAGTTTAACCTAAAGGTGGGCTGAGAGCGATCCGGTTTGGTTTGGTTAAACCCTCAAATCGCATACTGACTTCGATCTTTGCTCATTCATACTTTTTTTAAGTGTGAATGGTTGAGATTTAACTAATTAAGCTCGTGAGAAAAAAGGGCACGAAGAATTTCCACATTGACCCAATGTAAGTGTTAAGAAGATAATAAAAGTAATATTGGCAGTTTAGTTCGGTTTAAGTCAATTCTAAATAGTTAATTTTGAGTAGTCTTTTCGTATAAGATTTCATTGCTTTAACGTAAAATTTGAACCAAATTGCTCAAATTGGTTTGGTTTGACTGAGTTGAATAGTTTGGACAGTTGTCAGACTATTCCTAGATTTTTTTGTCCCCCTAAAATTTGGAGAAATTGAGTGTCCAACGAAAATAAACGTAACAGTTAAATCTCCAACAACATTATTTGTGGTGTTGATTATCAATTGTACATTAGCCTTTACACCCGAATTTCAAAGTAACACAACATGGGGCAAACTAGTCTTTAACCTACATGGAGATATACCCAGCACCAGCAGCACCCCACCCCGCAGGACAAAATGTGATCACATACTTACTCGCCTTGCAGGTCACCAATGGAGGTGGTGTATCATAAGCATAGCTGTAATACGAAGGGCAAGCATCTTTGAATAACTTTGAGTACACACTCGGCTTGCATTTTTCTGGGGTTCCATACTCTTTCCGGCAACAATACGCGTCCGTATTAAACGCCAAGCAAGCGCTTTTGCACGCCACAACTTCCCCTTTCTTGTTTAAAACCTTAAGCTCTTTGGGGCACCGAGTTTTCAAATCTTTCAAACACCCTCCGATAGTGCAATTGGATGCTACTGGATTTGATAAGACCACGACCGGAAGATTGTATCCATCAACCACGCTCACATCGTAGAAATTCAGCTTGTCTTTGTCGCCTTGAACTGAAACTTGCACTAGTGTCACTGGTGGATTGCCTATTAGCCCTTTGCATGCTAATCGTCCGTCACAATCTCCTGTTTCGCAAGCAGGATTCCCGTTGGAAACAAAGTTGCATCCTGTTCGCGCCCAAATCCGACCGCTCCATGACCACGGGGCAGTAACGCGCTGAGTCTTGCCAGCGGGGAGGTAGAAGCCACCATCAGCTATCACGGCCTTTCCGGCGTTGGGGGCAGTTGCTGGCCATATGTTGAAGGGGCACTTGTTGTGTACGTAAAACGCAACTGTCTGTGCCGTTCCATGACCTGCAATATAACATATTGATTCAAAACTAGTAACAATAAAGTTCAAGAACAGTTTAGACACTGAAAAATATGAATCTGCTTTAACAAAGGAAAGCGATTTTCGCATTCCCCCCCCCCCCCCCCAACATTGTTTCCCTTAGGGAGGAGTACATACCGAGAGAATGGGAGTATGAAAATCACTACCCTGACAAACAAAACTGTTAAACGAACATGTTTGTTTATATGAACTTACCAAAAAAGATGAAAGTCCACACTAGGAACAGAAAGAAAGCAGCAACAAAGTCAGGCGACTTCATGTTTTGGATGCATATATTCAGGTGGAATGCAATGTTGCTTAGGAGCTACATATATAGGTAAAGTTAAATGGTGCTTCTTGTTGGATTGCACTTCAAGGTTTGGTGTGGACAATCTTCGTACATAATTAATACAAGATTATAGTAATGTTACCCTTTAAGCAACGTTCTTAAATTGTCATTTGGACATTGACCTCTGTTGACAAATCATGAGAAGCAATACAATGTCTAACTACCTTTGCAGAGAAAAATCACCAATAATAGGTCACATGTAAAACATCAGATGAGAGGTAATTATCAGCAGTGCTAACTTTAAGGTCACTCTTTCATAGGGTAAATTATTCGGTGAATCCGGTTGTATATTTTGTGTTTATCATGAGAAAAGCGAGATAGATACAAGATTATATGCATTCCGTTGTGCCATAAGTTCTCTAATTTCATAGCGAAAAGTTCTAGGCACAACCAAGTGTATATCACCCTGTCTTTGTTCCTTCTATATCTCTCTTCATGTGATACGGCACATGAGGAGCAAGATAGGCACAAAAAAATATACACTCGAGTGTGTATTACTTTGTTTTTGTTCCTTCTATATCTCCCTTCATGTGATACAGCACATGAGGAGCGAGATAGGGACAAAAAAATATACAGTCGAGTGTGTATCACTTTGTTTTTGTTCCTCCTATATCTCTCTTCATATGATACGGCACTGAAAAGCGAGATAGGCACAAAAAAATTATACACCCGATTGCATTTTAGTTTCTTTTCTTTATATAGAAAGGAGAAAGGCAAAAGCTTTCCAACAGTTGGACAATGATGATGAATGATTTGTGTAATATAAACTTATGAGCGCTGCTTCGCTGCTGAAGGTTTCAGCAGGAGTTCCTGCTTACACTTGGGCTAAAACCTTCAGGAGCGAAGTCTTTATTCTAAACTTATTTTCTTTTCAAAATTGAAATAATACAAAAACTCTCAGATAATCATCAGTGCAATTAATGTGGTAACCAAGAAATTCAACCCAGGATTCTGACCTGACCCCCTCAGTTTTTGTGCATTGTTTATTCTTTCCAAAGTCCAAATAATATTTGTTATAGTAGTGTTATTTACACACTTATTTTTATTTCTTACATACTTCTTGCTAATCTCTATCCTTCGATCAATTCATTCGATTCGCAACCGAAAATTAAGAGTGGTGTGTGAGAGGTAAAAATAAGTCTGTGAATAACACCACCCTATTTGTTATAACAATGGTGATATTTCTTGCCCTTTTTATAACAAATTAATAAATAATGAGTTCCTTTCTTATTCTGGTCTCTGCAAATGTGTTTCAGAAATTTAAAAAATAAAAAATTGCCTCTTTTTAGTAAAATCTATTCACATACATGGAAAAGTAATTATTGTCCAGGGTGGTTTACCTTACGTTCTCCTTCTCCTGCCACATTTAGCTGTCAAGAATATCCAATGGTATCCACACTGCATCCTCTGCATCAATTGCACTTTGCAAATTTGCTATTCACCATCTACTCAATTCTGGATACAGTACACTGAAACTGTTCATAATCCGTCACAAGATAAACTTCTATATATCAAAATGTCACCGCGACGATATTTCAAGTTAATCACGAACAACCCACCAACCCAAACTTGAGACCTGATGTGGGTTTATCACATGGCACCAAACACTCAAACCAGAGGGGGAAGGCAATAACGGTATTGGCTGAGGAGGTGTATAATATACATTTGCACTTTTGGTTTCATTAGAAAAATCTGAGAGGCTTTTGTCGTCCTCGTAAACAGGGATTCTCTGTTTCCTTCTCTCTCTCTCTCTCTCTCTCGGTGTTGTGTTTTGTCTCCAAGCTGTAACATTTTCTGGGGCAGAGAGTAAGAAAATGGACATTGGTTATCTCACCCCGTTCTTCCCACACTCACGCTCTGATTTCAAATTTGAATACCGTTTTTATACACTCTGTTTTGGGTCCCTACGCTCAGCTCCCTTCTTCGCGCCCGCATCTCTCTCGTCCTCCCTTTGACCACCTCGGTCACCCCCCCATCCGTCCCCCACCCCACCACCAACACCCATTTTTAACCCCAGTTTTTTTCTCTCTGACATTTCATCGAACACTTCATCCGCAACCTCTCAACCATGGACAAACCACCCCACTCCGCCGAATCCCACGACGGCGAATCCGTCGTCAGCAGCCTCCAAGATCTCAGCTTCAGCATCAGCATGTGTAGCAGCACCGTTTCTGGCTCCGACAGCACCAAGGTCAGCAGCAATGGCACTCCGGAAGCAAACAAGAACGCCGAAAATGCCGATTGCGAAGACGAAAGTTACAAAAGCAGCTTAACCCACTTGGGAAATTCCAACCGGTCCGACCCGAACGAGGGCAGCTTCCGGAGTTTCTGCCCGTCGAAGCCGCACAAAGGCAACGACGCGCGGTGGGACGCGATACAATCAGTGAAATCCAAAGACGGAGACTTGGGACTCGGCCATTTCCGGCTGCTGAAGAAGCTCGGCTGCGGCGACATCGGAAGCGTCTACTTGGCGGAGCTGAGAGGGATGGGTTGCTTCTTCGCCATGAAAGTAATGGACAGAGGAATGTTGGCGGGAAGGAAGAAGCTGATCAGAGCTCAGACGGAAAGAGACATATTACGGTTGCTGGACCATCCGTTTCTTCCGACCCTCTATTCGAATTTCGAGACCGATAAGTTTTCTTGCTTGTTAATGGAGTTTTGCTGCGGCGGCGATCTGCATACGCTGCGGCAGCGCCAGCCCGGGAAGCATTTTACTGAACAAGCAGCGAGGTTAGTGTCCCATAATTTGCAACATATTATGTAGGTCTGATGATATTAAGGACGTCGTAATTTTTTGGTCAAGGCATTGTTTTCGTCGCTACACGTTTATTTTCTCTGTAAATTATAATGGTTTATAATATCGTCTTATAAATGAAAAATTCTTAGTGTTTGTTTGGTATTCTAATTTTTTTCGTGGTTAAAATGATTTTTTTTTAATTTTGATTAGGCTTAACTGTTTTTTTTTTTTTCACAGCTAATTTTTATTCACATGATTTAGACCAAAAAAATTTCAATCTTACGCAACAAATAAAGTGATTATTTTCTCAGCACAGCAATATCAAACTAATCACGTGTTGCCCGAGATGTTGAGGACTAATTTTAGACCAGTATTCCACGCAACATGTTCTAGGTTCGATTATTGGTTTGTATGATTCACACGATGATGGTCATGAGGAGGAGGCTTGGTGGTCAGGTCAGTAGGAGGCTGAAATGCCAGCCACTAGAAGCCTTTCAACCTTGAAAAAGATAGATTACCGTGATGAAGCCACCATTAGTCTATTTTCAGAAGAAAAAAAAACTATTATAATAAAAAGTGATTTATTTTTAGTTTAACTCTTGTACTCTTGACGCTGGGAAAAGGGTCTCTCCTTCCAAATGGTTTTGCAATCAAAATATTTAGAAATTTCATTAGCTTTTGAAGCTTTTATGGGTATAGCAAGATCACGAGTTGTTCCACTTTTCAACTATCTTTTTATGTTCATAGCCACAACACCCTTTTAAGTGCTTGGACCTAGATCCCGAAACCGTCAGCTCGATAACCATGTAACTGTGACAAATGTCATATGTTTTAACTTTCTCACATGCTGTATTAGTTACATTCATAGCGAAGTATCCGGTTTATGTAAATCTCTTTCAGTGTAATGCTTGAAAGATTTATCTACCACCACCAATGATTTGATAACTAATTCCGGTTAATTTTGATGCTAACTTCTCAATCAAACAGTAAAAACATTTGCTCATATCAAATTGCATTTTGTTTTGCAGGTTTTATGCTTCAGAAGTGCTTCTCGCCCTCGAGTATCTCCACATGATGGGCGTGGTGTACAGGGACTTAAAACCCGAAAACGTACTAGTGAGGGAGGACGGCCATATCATGCTTTCCGACTTCGATTTATCGTTGAGATGTTACGTGAGTCCGACTCTTGTTCAGTCCAGCGACGATCCGTCTTGTAGAATATCTGCGTACTGCATTCAGCCAGCATGCATTGATCCCTCGTGCAAATTGCCGGTTTGTGTTCAACCTGCTTGTTTGCAACCCTCTTGCTTTAAGCCTCGGTTTCTTAGCTCCAAATCAACCAAGGAGAAAACCGAAAGAGTAGGATTTGGAAATTCAGATTCGTTGCCTGTACTTATTGCTGAGCCAACGAGTGCGCGCTCTATGTCATTCGTTGGGACACACGAGTATTTAGCTCCCGAAATAATCAGAGGTGACGGTCATGGTAGCGCGGTTGATTGGTGGACTTTCGGTATCTTCTTGTATGAGCTGCTGCATGGGAAGACGCCATTCAAAGGGAATGGTAACCGGGAGACATTGTTCAACGTGGTCGGTCAGTCTCTTGAGTTTCCGGATGGATTCAACGTTAGTTTCGCTGCGAAGGATTTGATCCGGGGCTTACTTGTGAAGAACCCTCAAAAGAGACTTGGATTTAAACGTGGTGCCACAGAAATTAAACAGCACCCCTTCTTTGCAAGCGTAAATTGGGCTCTCATCCGCGGCACGCGCCCGCCGGAGATTCCAAAACCGTTTGATCTTGCGACTCTAAGTCACACATTCAAGTCCGCAGTGCCTCAAAACAACAAGGTGGCTACCGAATCGAATCGATCATCGGGTCCATACTTAGATTTTGAATTTTTCTGATGAATTTTGATGGGACGAGAAAAAAGGATTGTAGCATTTTTCTTGCGACATTATTCATGTTCTCAATGAAATATTTTCTTCACATGATTGTTTCATTCAACTCCGTGCATAGGGAGGTTTATGCTAAAAAGTATAATTGCGCCACGATGGTGGGGTATGAAGCAGATCAAACACTGACATATGAAAAAGTTAAAACATGATACCCTATATTAGTTTAGAATACTGTCACAATCATATCTCATTTGTAGGTGATTAAGTTTCTGTCCCTCTATTGGTGGTGGAGAAAAACATCGGGCACATACTATTTGCCTCGTTCGCCTCACACAAAACCAGCCGTCCCCATGTATTTTGTCACACCCGTTGTTCTTGAACCGTACCTTTTGTACTTACGGCCTGAGTGCGGTAGCTCTACTGAATACTCCATATTTTCGTTTACTTGTAAGTTTCTCTCCATCTACTGGTGCTGGAGTCTGAATTGACATGTAAAATGTCCGAAACTTTGGCTGGAAATGCACTTTTTGAAAAGAAGATTAAGAACGAGACAACACAAAAAAAGGGAGGAAAAAAGAACCGTGATTTTGTCTCCCTGGCACTTTGATCTCTTTTGTTCTTATATAATCTGCTTTTATCAGTGTTGGATTCTGCTTTTTATTGAATTGTTCCATGTGCTTCTTTGCTTTTTTTTTTTTTTTTTTTTTTTTCCAGTGCAGCCTGCCTTTCTTCAAGATTATACTTTATCAGTGTCCTTTTCCTAAATAGTGAAAATGATTTTACAAAAAAAAAAAAAATTGTGAAAATGGATACTCACCAAAATATGAAGAAATGTTTTCATTTCTGATATCGGTTTTCTTCGTTTTACCCGCTGTCTTTCGGACAATACTTGGGTACTCACTGAGGAGTACCTAATTTACTGACTTCATAATATGAGTCAATAAAAATCGGGAGTAAACTGTCGATTTACCCCCTGAACTTTCACTTAACTTTCGATTTCCCCCCTGAACTTTTCTATTGGAAAATTAAGGACTCAAACTAATTTTTTTAGCCGATTTTCCATCCATATTTCTGTTAAGTGAGATCATGTGCACAACATGTGACAATTCTTTAAGGGCAGAAAAGTCATTTAGCAAGACTTTCACACAATATACCTTTTGCACAGTCGATGTTAAGAAATCTAGGGTTTACACACGATTTGCAAGGTGGGTGTTCACTGAAACTTAGGGGAAATTGACTTCATAGTTTGTTGATGGTGGATTCGACAAAATCATTGAGATTACAAAAAGTTTTGAGAGTTGAAGATGCCCTTGGAGGTGCGCAGTGGGGGGAATCGTCCTATGCATGAAAAATGACATGTGGTGTTATTGTCTTCATAAGTAGCTAAGTTAGTATTTTTCTTGAAGCATGTACTACCATTTTTATTTTCTCTAACAAATTAATAATTTGACAAATGCTCATGATGTTATTGTCTCCAAAGCAATGCATTAATACAAGAAACATGTTCAAAATACTCATAAAAAAATGTTCAAGATAATTACATACTTTTCATAATGTCATAATAATCCCAATACAATTCCACAAAATGATCCTTAAGAAGTTGGAAAACATAAGAGATTTTATCATCCATAAGGTATATAACCCATATAATTTGGATTACAAAATATGGGCATTCCACTTAAACAAACACAAGCAAAATAAGGTTTTAGTTATCAAAACAAGAGCACAAACATTCTGCTCGAAATGCACATCACACGTGGAGATCAACTACACTTTCCATGGCCTTCCTCGTTTGGCTGGAATCTTGTACCTAAACCTATTTTCATTTCTAATGGCTGAGTAAGGTTGAGGGTGTGATGTAGAAGCAACAACTTAAGGTTGTGCTGCTTGAGATACATACCCTTCTCTTGTAACCTAAAAAAAATATCAGTTAAAGCATTAACATAAATCAGTTGAAATATAAAAACTTCACTTGAGATTCATGCCTTCCTCTTGTATTTTCATTTATACCTATAGAATAGAAAATGATGTACTTACAGAAAAATTTGTCGTCCTTTGAGCTTGAGATTGAGATTGAATTGGACATTCAGAATGAGCTTGAGTTGGAACTTGAGAATGAGTTTCAACTTGATCTTGCTTACCTCCTAAACCTTGAAGTAATTCAATGATGTTAACAATAGTTTATTTACCAATTTAAATAAAAATAAAAACTTAAATTGATGGTTTTCATCACCCCTGTTAAGTTTAGAGCTTCTCCGCCTCCTCTTGCTCCTCCACGTTGTCGTCTTGCTCCTTTTACCTCCCCTTGCTCCTCTTCCTCTTCTACCTCCTTATCCATCCATCTGCAATAAAGTTGGGAATTTCAATGAAATGCGTGTGAAACTATGAGAACTAAATTAAGTTCAAGTCAAAATTTGAGAATATCATAAATCAATTAAGTGAAAGTGAAATACATGCTCATTGTTGCGACAAGTTGCTGAGTTATGACCATCAACACCACAAATGTTGCAATTAATAACAATGCCATATCTTTTCAACTTTGTTGCCTTTTTTGGTATCTCATCAGCTTCCTTTTTTCGACAAGTTTTAGGTCTCCCAGGTTGTTTGTGATACAAAGGGGGCTTGATAGGCACAAGGCCTGTTTTCCTCCACTCTTTTGGACCAGGCATCAGAGAAATGTATCCCTCATAAGCCATATGCTGGCCTCTTATAACAAGAATGAACATAATCAAGTGGGTTATGCTCTTTCTTGCCTATTGCAGTAATAGCATGTGGACATGGGATTCCACATAAATCCCACTTTCGACAAGAACATGTATGACCTTCCAAATCAACAGCATACATACCACCATGAAGATGGTTCACCTGATACTTTCCCTCACCAGCATATGAGGCTATGCATAAAAAACTTTCAATTTTATATTTCTCAACTATTTCAAATATTCTGGGCCTAACTTCATGATTCCAAATTGTCTCTCGAACCCTAGCCATATAGCAGCATTAAAAGACTCACACAAATTGTTGAGTAGTATATCACACTTTGCATTAGTATTGAAATGTGACCTACTCCAATGCAATGGTCTACTAATAGCAACTGAATAGTACCTTACAGCCTCCCTGCATGCCTTCATGTCAGGAAACTCCATACCCAAATAAAAGGTTGGATTTAACAAGTCAGTCTTTCTTTTGAATTGTTTAAACCTTGGAGCTTTTCTCTTTCGTCTAACCTTTTTCACAACAATACCTTCTTCATATGAATGCTTCTCTTCATCAAGGCTTAGCAGCTCCTCTTAGTTGTACTCATCAGTAGAAATTTCGTCAGGCTCTTTATGCGATGCCTCAAAAGCCTCATCAACCACAAACCTCTCAAATAGAGTATCATCTTTCACAACGTCAGTATCATTTTCAGATTGCACATAATCAGAGTCAACATATTCAAAGTCATTTTCACTTTCCTTTCTTGCACCATCATCTTCCTCCGTATCAAGCTCTGATCCCACTTCATCATCATCACCAACATCTTCATCATCTTCATTTTCATTTTCATATTCATCATCAGCATCTACATCAAATATTTTTACATCAACTCTTTGATTCACACTAGCTTCAACATTCACACCTTTTTCACATTGTACTGTAGCATCTACAAGATGGTTGTCTAAGTCAGTTGCCAACACTTCTGTCTCAAACCAATTATCCCAACCATCACCCCACTGACCATTATTTGTCAAATATAAAACTTGAACCCTAATGAAGGTATATGAGAAACAAATTCACTAACATCGGCATCTGCAATAAGAGGGACAAACCCTTTTACTTTGTCTTTGTAGTGAAACCCCGTTTGTAGATGGTTGTAGCCAAGTGATACAGCCACATCATATATGTCTAGCATAGACATTAAGTCAGCGTCGAAGTTGTCCACCCACCGTACAAGACCACCAACATACTCTCCATCCTTAAGATGACCTCCATGGTGAATCTCTATTGTGAATAAATCAGGCTTAGCTACAAAAATAAAGACACATAATTAAAAATCTATTTTTGTTAAAATAATAAAAGGCCCAAGGTTCAAATCCCTACAATGTAAACAAACAAAAAAAATAACATAACACATCCCATGGAGAGTATTAGAATCTACAGAGTGGTATTACAAGATTTTTGATCCAAAACTTGAAAAAAAAAAAAGGATATGGGACGACAAACTGACTAAAGCAACTGCAAGGTAGTAACCAACAAATTCAAAAACATTGTTGAACGCATCATCTACAAGTTATAATTGGCAAATCCTAACCAAATGGAGGCTCAAACTGATTCTTTAGTGACTAGATTTCGTACTTCTGTATCAATAAGATTGCGGTAGATGGCAATTAGACCTAAAAATCTATTTTTACATCAGCATCTTCATTTTCATATACATCAGTTGTTAAAAAAAATCCAATTGTTGCCTGGCACACCCATTCCCTTCTTCTTCTTTCCGTGTTAAGGTCCACATGCTTTTCTTTAAGACCACATATACATTTGACCACAATTTGAAACCAAAACGAAATCTCATACAAAGCTATAAAAGAGAGAAAAAAAACCATGTAAAGCCGACATCTTCCTATTAAACAAACAATTACAAAAGGTATAAAATAAGGAAAACTAATGAAAAGGGCTTGAAAACTTTGAGTTTTAATGATAAGGACAAAATAAAGGGTAAAGTGAATAGTACCAGGATTGACTTTTTAGTGTAAAAATGTGGTTTTTCGTTAAAGTGAACAGTACCGGGTGCTTTTCGTTAAAGTTCCCTATAAAATATACTTACAGTACTTTGGACGATTCCCCCACCTGCGCACCTCCAAAGGCAACTTCAACTCTCAAAACTTTTTGTAATCTCAATGATTTTGTCAAATCTACCATCAACAAACTATGAAGTTAATTTCCCCCAAGTTTCAGTGAACACCCACCTTGCAAATCGCGTGTAAACCCTAAATTTCTAAACAGCGACTGTGCAAAGGGTATATTGTGTGAAAGTCTTGCTAAATGACTTTCTGCCCTTAAAGAATTATCACATGTTATGCACATGATCTCACTTAAGCACTTTTTTGTCGT